GATAGGATAGAAGGTAATTCAGGAAAAATAAAACCTATAAAGGATAAGGGAATGAACCACAGGAATATTTTGGAGAACAGCATCCCAGACAGAAGGAATAGCAGGTGTAAAAACTCTGAGGTTGGAGCAGAAGGAGCAAGAAGAGGAGAATGGTAGGAATGAAAGTCAAGTAGTAGAGTATAGACCAGATAGGGCCTGGTAGGCTTTTTTAAAATGAGTGATATAATCTTTCATTTTGTTTAAACTGAATCACTATGGGTGCTATGTCAAGAATAGACTGAAGAGTGTTATAAAGAGAATCTGGGAGACCAGTGAGGAAGCTGTCACAATCCAGGAGAGAGATGATATAGCTTGAGTTGGTTATAGTAGCAGTAGAGATAATGAGAAGAGGTCAGGTTCTAGATATATTTTAAAGGTAGAAACAATTAGGTTTAAATGATTACACTTGGATGTGAACAAAGACGATTCAGTTGGGATACCAAGGTTTATGGCATGGTGGTAATAGAAATGGAATTATAAAACATCATAATAATGTGTGGGTCAGTGCAGTGTTTGTGTGGATGTGGGGATGAGCAGAGAATGGGTCAGGTATATTTGAGTCATGAAGGACATGTAGGAGACCAAGAGGTTTCTGAGCAGAGAGGACAGATTGTATAAATGCAGGCTTGTGAAAGATAATGGGCTCTAGAATTATAATTAGTTTTTGGAATGCAGGGAGCCTACAGCAGGAAATAAATTGAAAGAGATAGAGGCCTTACATATTCCATGATAAGAAATTAAATTTTGTGTTATAGATGATAAAAGAGACTGGCATTTCTTAAGCCTGGGAGTGACATTATCAGGTATACATTTCAGGAAGACCACTGAAAGATCAGTGGTGTGGAGAATAGTTTAAAAAGACAAGATTGCCAGCCCAAACTTGTTACTATTGAAAGGTGACCAGGAAACAAGCATGTAGTGTTGAGTATAAACATAGGTGTACTGAAGTTAGATTAACTTGGGTTCAAACACCTGTTCTACCATTTACTCGCTGTGTGAATTTGGTCAAGATACTTATCTTTCTGAGCTTCTGTTTCCTCATCTGTGAAATGAGGATAATAATAGTTCCTAATTCATTGGGTTATTGTGATAATAAATGAGTTGATTAGTGCTTAAAATTTGCTCTTTATAAATTTTTAGTTATTTCTGCATTTTTATTTTATAGAAGAATTTGACACTTGGGAGAGTTATAGCCTGTTGGTCCACCCACTTAGGGGAAGCTATTTAACATAAACAGAATTTTTATTACAGTGAATTGTATCATGATTATATCAGTCATGGTCTAACCTAAAAGGTAACAAAAGATACCTTTGAAATAAGTTAAGTTAAGGAAGCTGGTGGCCAGTGGCCAGTGGCTCACACCTATAATCCTAGCTACTCAGGAGGCAGAGATCAGGAGGATCACAGTTTGAACCCAGCTTAGGCAAATAGTTTGTGAGACCCTATCTCAAAAATGCTCAATCCAAAAAAGGGCTGGCAGAGGGACTTAAGCAAGCATGAGGGCCTGAGTTCAAACCTTAGTACTGCCAAAAAATAAATAAATAAATAAAGATAAGTCAAGGAAAGTTTATTTTTAAAAGGACTATTTAGAAAGATGTGGCTATAGGGGAACCACAAGCATTATGCAGAAATGGAATGGGAAGGTTGCTAATAGCAGCTTAGATATTACCATCTCTAGGCTGAAAGTGACAAGGAAAGAGAACAGTTATCAGATCCTAGAGGGAAAGAGTTAAATAAACCCAGGGGCTTTGAGAGAAGCACAGATCTTCCATGGAGGGTCATAAAACTCATGGTAATATGACAGGGAGGAATGTAGAAGAGTGAAGAACCTAACCTTCTCTTCCCCTGTATCCCATCTTTAGCCAGGCTTCCCATCACCTGAACACTAGAAGTCAGAGAATCTGAGAAGTCTATTCATATAGTTCAGAGGCCAGCCTCCTGGTATAGAGGGCAGGTGGATGTGGGGAGAGTACATCTAGAGGAGCAAACCAAACATATCTAGCATATAGACTATCATGATTTTATTATTATTATTATTATTATTATTTGCTCAAGTGGCCTGTAACTAGACTTTGGAGATTTAAGGTGCAGGTTTATACTCACCATTGGGCTAAATTTATAGTTGAAGATGAAATTACCACTGTGAGTGGCAGATTTCTGAAACTCTCCTGATCCTGTCCCCTGAGGTAGAAATAGTTGCTGAGATTATAGTTTATGACTATAGTGACTGATCTATTTAGATTAAGTGAGATTCTGGGGAGGGGTGTGGGAGGGATTGCACCCATTATTATAAGAACACCTGGAAAGAAAAGACTTGCAATAGAAGAGATAAGTGTCATTAATTTAAATGTTAAAAGGCTTGTAACTTTCTTTGTTCCCCACTTGGAAAAATGAGACATAATGAGAGTAGATCATTGTGGTAAACCAGGAAAAGATGAGGAGAGTATGTACTATGGCAGAAGACATAGAGATGGAGAGGAGGAAATGGATTTGTGAGATCTTAAAGAAGTAACAGTATTTGGTAAACAGTAAGATGAGGGAAGTGGGGAGGGTCCAGGACTGCCCTGAGGTTGCCGGGTTGTATAACTAGTGGATGGTGGTGCCATTAACTTACGTAGGGAATCTGAAGGGAAGCAAATTCATCACTTTGGATGCTGAATTTGAGCTGCTTGTGGGATATTCTGTTGATATGCGTAGGTGGATGGGAATAGCGATCAGGAGCACATGTGAGTGGAGTAGGCAAAAATGGAAAGGCATGAGTAGGAGTTATGAACTAGATAGAAAAAATGAAGTAAGGAAAGAAGTCTAAGGGTAAGGTTCTAGGGAATAACAGCATTTATGAGGAATATTGAGTAAGGAGAAGCAATCATACACAGATGGAGGAAGAAAACCAGATATGAAGGAGGTCCTGGAAAATAAGGGTAAAGCAAATTTCAAGAAAGAAGAGGGCCTGTTATGGCCTCCAATGTTACAGAGATCAAGAGCAGATGAATGAGTAAGTGGCAGTCGCTAAGGGAAGGCAAAGTATAGACCACAATCTTAAAAGGTGTTTTTGTGAGGAAAGGAGAAGCATAGACTGATGGAATGAATTTGTTGGTTGTTAATTTTTTTATTTAATAATTTTGGTAAAATACACACAGAATTTACCCTATTGACCATTTTTTACTATATAGCTAAGCATTGTTAAGTACATTCGCATTGTTGTGCAACCAATCTCCAGAACATTTTCATCTTGCAAAGCTGAAACTCTGTACCCATAAAAAACCAGAATTTTCTTTTAAGAACAAGGATTATTTAAGTATTATTTTTTATGACAGGGGAAGAGACAATGTAGAGAGATAGGTTGAAGGTGTAGGAAAAATGGAATTTCTAACATTCTAAGAACTTATAAAAGACCATTTCATCATTAAGTAAAATCAAATATTTTTGCCCCTTTCTAACAACTCCATCTCTCTTGAGTGCAGTTTTCATTTTCTACTTTCTATTGCAACCCTCCCAATAACATTGATAATTATGATAATTTTTTTGTTCAGAAATAAGATTTAATTTTTAAGACAGTTTCAGGCCTTTAAACAGACACTTCCATCTCTTTTGTAAATTATTCTTGTGCGAATGGGAGGCATTATATACTTAATGGTAGCATTTTCATGATTATGAAAGAATGTGTACACTGGGCAATGTGATTTAATTGCAACACAGAGCATGAAACCATAGAAAGCATTAAATGTCAGAAGGTTCATGTAATATGAGTTGGACACTAAAACTAATTTCTATTACTGTATATTTAATTCAAATGAACTTTAAATTTTTATAAAGTTCTAGTTGTGAGAGATTTGAACCTCTCCTGGTTGAACCAGAAGTTGGGTACTAGAACACATCTCTCCTCCTCTCCCCCACCCCCGCCCCCTCCCCTTCTCTTCTTTCTCCTCCTCTCCTCCCCTCCCCTTCCCTTTCCTTCTCCTCTCTTCTCCTCTGCTAACCCTGGGTTAGACTAGATGTCTGAGGTCTCTTTCAAACTTCAAATGCCGACCAAGGTTTGCAACAGCCTGGTGGAGGGAGAAGCTGCCCAAATGGCCTTCATCTCAGAGAGTTAGCCCTGGGTGCCAATAGCTCAGTCTGTAATCCTAGCTACTTAGGAGGCAGAGATCAGGAGAATTGTGTTTCTAAACCAGCCCTATCTCAAAAACACGCTACACAAACAAGAGCTGGCAGAGTGGCTCAAGAGGTAGATTGCCTGCCTGGCAAGCATGAGGTCCTGAGTCCAAACCTTAGTACTGTCAAAAAAAAATTTAGCATTTGTCTTGATTTCTAAATACCTCAGTATATACAGTTTAATAGTTAGCCTCTCATCTGATTCACATCATCTTGCAAAGGCTGGGCGTGGCAATCCATCCTGACAGGACTATAGAGGTAGCAAGTTAAATTTGGGGAAGTCACAGCTAGACCAAAGTTTCCAGTGAACAGCTTCATTTGTGGTTCTATCTGACTTTCCAACCAATGGTGTAGCTTCTCCTGCAGTAGCACCATTGCTTGGGTGACTCCTTGCACTTCTGTCTAAGGAGCCTGGAAAAGGATTGCTCATCATGGGATCGGAAGTGATTGGCTTTATGGGACAGAAAAAACTGTTCTTGCCTCTCTACAGGCTTTCCAGTGGGTATCAAGCAAACGAGTTTCTTGTTATTTGGCTTCATAATTGAGAGACATAAATAGCTTTTTTTTTTCTTTTTGCAGCCAAGATGATTTTTTTCAAGGGAGAAAAGTGTATTTCTGAGAGAGAGAGAGAGAGAGAGAGAGAGAGATTGAGAGAGAGACAGAAAGGAGGAGGAGGAGGAGGAGGAGGAGGAGGAGGAGGAGGAGGAAGAGGAGGTGGTGGAGGTAGGAAGAGAACAAGAAAAGTCACAACACTACCCAGGGAATCCTTCGAGTAACTAGGGAAATGAGCTGCTGAACTCCACAGCCAATCTGTCCTTTCTGTCAATGAAAAAGACATAGGGTTTGATGTTCTTCCCGAAACGGGGCTGGCTAATTTAGCCCCTCCCACCAACCCAAGGTCTGTTATATCTCTGATCCTTGAGTACCTCTCTCACAGAAACGGACCACAGCAAGCAGAAGCTGGAAAAACAAAAACCAAAACGTGGAAAGAGGAACAAAAGCTGCTACTTATGGAAGATATAAAGGGTAAGACCAAAACTGATTTGATCTGAATCCTTAAGAAAAAAAGGAAGAAAAAAATAACCCAGACCAAAAGCAAGTACTTGAAAGAGCAAGAGGCAAAAAGCCCTGAATGAACTTTCCCACCCTCTTCCTTCTGAAAGGAGGCAGAGAAAGAACTTTGGGAAACTTTTAGGAAGCATAGCTCAGGGTCATAGTCAAGGGTGGCTCTTGAGCAGGCTGAAGGAGCTCATGAATATTCATTATTAATTTGTATGCAGATCTGGCTTTTTAGAGGCAAATCACTTTTTAAAGTCTCCTTTCCTTTTAAGAGACAGCTGCTTCATCTACAGTCTGGAGTCATCTAGCGTGGGGTTAGATCCTTACAGTGTTTGCTTGAAGATGCTGGGTTCTGTGTGTAGATTTGTTTTGTTTTCGCATTTCCTGCATACTTTCCTGTTGTGAAATTAGCAAAGGCTTCCCCTGTCGGGAGTTGGACAGACAAGTTACTGTGACAAGAGGGTGTCACAACAGGACCCAGAAGCAAGCATGTCTTCCAAAAGGCTGAAAGTTTCTTGAGATGTGTGTGTGTGTGTGTTGGTGGTGGGGGAGGTGGGGGGAGTGTGCATGTCGAGGGTAAGGGGCAAGGAGGGGTGGAGGGAGGAATAAGAGAGTTGTCTTTAAAAAGCAGGTCCTATCTGATTGACTACACTTAGATTTTGTCTGAAAACTACAAGAGCTGCCTGGTTTGCACAAATGGTGTACAGTCTCTGTCTTTTACCTCTTTTGGGCATTTTCTGCTAGGAAGGAGAGCCAGCTGCTTGCCAGCCCTTGGGAGCCAGGAATAATCTGTGTTAGCAGTGGGGCAATGTAGGGTGGCAAACCTTCTCTTCCTCATCCCTAATTTCTAATATGTTTTTATCACATAGAATGTGCGGGAATAGGATAAGTAGCCAACAGATTTCTTTCTTTTTTGGCAGTACTGGGGTTTGAACTCCGGGCTTCATGTCTGCTAGGCAGGCACTCTACCACTTTGAATCACACTTCCAGCCCTTTTTGCTCTGGTTATTTTGGAGATAGAGTTCTCACTTTTTACCCAGGCCTGTCTACACGGCAATCCTTCCATTTCATGCTTTCTGACAACTCTGGGATGGCAGGCAGGTACTACCACACCCAGCTTTTTTTTTCCCATTGAGATGGGGTCTCATAAACTTTTTTGCCTAGGGCTGATCTGGAACCTCAATCCTTCCTATGTCAGCCTCCCAAGTAGCTGAGCAATCAACTCAACAGATATCTTAACAATTAAAATAATGGGACTGTTTAGATTTACTAAGTATTTTATCTTGGGGACTGTTCTAAGCATATTATATGTGCTATTTATTCCTTATATGAACCATAGGAGGTAAGTGCTGTCATCCCCATTTTCTCCAGATGACAAAGTTGAGTAATCACATAGTTAGGAAGTGGAGAATGTGGACCCAGGCAGACAGAAGCAGGGCCGAGGACTTTTCCACCCCACCCCCAACCCACCACTGTTGCTCTGCTCAGAAGGCTCTCTCTGGTGCCCTGACATTGTGGGTTCTGGTTTTGCAAATCCCTGAAGCTACTGGGGGAAATGGTGCTGTTGAAATCTCAAGTATTTGAAGGAACTTCCTTTGCAATCAAGTTCACATATATTTTTCTTATTTGGTGCTCATGGTCAATCTTTATGGTAGAGAAGTGGATATTGTTATTATGGCCTTTTTACCAAAGGCAGAAACTGAGGCTGAGAGGGATTAGGTGGCATGAATCACACTAGTGTCAGAAGTCCAGACCAGACCAGAAATCCCCTGCTTCTGGTTTCTCTTCTAACCTGCAGAGCCAGCCCAGTCATCTCTGAATTTGTGTCCCCACCCCCAGCTAGTCCTCACTCTGCCACTTTCAGTTCCCCAAGGGAACTGTTCCTTCCTTCCCTCTCAGACTGTTATGGGCACTTTCCTCTGCTTTAAAGACTTATCTAACCCTCTTTCTCCCCTTCATTCTTGAGCCAATCTGCCTTGTTTCAATTCCCGCCTCTACCATTTACTGTGTGCCTTAGTTTCCTCATCTGGAAAAATGAAGAGAATAATAATATCTACCTCATAGGGTTGCTGTAGGGACTGAATGAGGGAGATCCATGCAAGGTTCTTAGAATGGGCCTGATGTGTAGTATGTGCTCAATAAGTATTAGCTGTAGCTATTATTCCTTTAAGTCTCATCTTGAGTATTACTCTCCCCTTTAAGCCTTCTCCAACCTTTTGAGCCTAGGCTTGAACCCATCTTAGACGTTTCTACAATAGTTAGTTCATCTTTTATGCTTATGGTGACACTTGTCATATTTTCCTGCCCCCTGTATCACCTTCCTCCCTTCCTCAATTATAATTTATTTGTCTTTAGATATGTAATATCTAGTGTATTGTTCTTTCAGTCTTCAAACTCTTGCCCACTTTAATGTCAGTGTATACAGAGTGGTGGGAGAGAGGCCTTAGTCATGACAGAGGCACAGGAGGCAGCTATGGGGGTGCTCATGTGGCAGCCCTAGAGGATTTGCTGCTAGAAGCCATCCAGGAGGTAGACAGACTCTGAATACTGATTCAGGAAGATCCTTAGAACATTCAGTGGCCAGTTCTTAGAGTAGCAATTCCACAAATTTCTTCTTGAGGGCCACAATAGGTCTCTGACGTCTTTTTTCACCTTGGTGGTCACATTTACCTGTCCCCATGACAGGTTCTTGAAGTTGGTGTTTATCTTAGAGAAGATACTGAACTTCCCCAAAGGGTGGTAAACCCCAGGCTCTTGTGTAAGTTCAAAAGGTCCTTGCCAGCTTCCAGCACCTTGAGCACCTTAATGGGCACCCAAGAAGTATCTAGTAAACTAAACATTATTATTTTAGCTGATATTCATTCAAGAGCCAGGAGTCTGGTTTAAGAGGAAATCTTTTCGTCTGTAATAGGGATTTCTCCTTGCTGGTGCGTACAACTCTTTTGTACAGTTCATAAAGATATCCCTCTTGGTGGATACATGGAAAATGCATCCCTTCTGGGTAGATGATCTTAATTACTCATTTGACTCCATGCCAGGGCATCAAGTTTGGCCAGTGCAGCCCTGGCTAAATTTCAGCCCCCACGCTCCACTTAGCCAGGGATCTAGCTGGAGATTTCAGATGCCCCATAGCACTCTGACTCTGAACAGAACATCTGGTTCCATAAGTAGTGAGTGTCTCCCCAGCCCCACTTCATAGCAACTTTGCTGCCTTAGGCATTATACTCTAGTAATGAAAGAAAAACAAACACTATAGAGGCTGGCCCTGAGTAAACTAATAACGACATTAAATTTTTTTTCAGCACCCTCCCTTTCCTCTTCCTGGCATACCTTCAAACCAAGTCAGCAAATATTACTTTGTGTCCACCATTTGTAAGTCCCTATGCTAGTTGCTTGTGATATAAACAGTTTGCTCATGATCTAGTATGGAAGGAGACATATACACAACCAAGTCTAATCAAAACCAGACTCCATGAAGTGCTACTACTAATAGCTAATATAGGTTATTTATTATGTATCAGGCACTGTAATTTTTTGTGTTGTCTCATGTAATCTTCACAACTCCATGATATTGGTTTCTGCATCTTTCTTTGCCAAGGTTATATAGCCAATAATAGGCAAGTGGGAAATTTTGACTCATATGGTTAGGCTGCAAAGCCTGGACTCCTAACGGATAAATACCACCTCCCTAACAGGCATAGTAGAAGTCTAAAGAAAGTGCCATGAAAAACAGAATTGGGAGTGATGACTTCTGGGAAAACTCAAAGAATGGAGCACTTCAGTTGGACCTAGAAAGATGAATAAAATCTGGAACCCACTAGAAACCTCTTCCCCCTCCAAGCAATACTTAAAGAACTTTTTTTTTTTAACCAAAACTGGAGCATAGATTTATGAATAAAAAATGCCAGGCTTACATCACATCTGTAATCCTGGTTTGAGGCCAGTCTGAGCAGATAGTTTGTGAGACCCCATCTCCAAAATAACCAGAGAAAAATGGACTGGAATTGTGGCTCAAGTGGTAAAGCACCTGCTTTGCAAGCACAAATCCCTGAGTTCAAACTCAAGTACCACCAAAAAAAAAAAAAAAGAAAAAAAAAAAGAGTAGAAAGCTTCTTTTCCTTTCCAAGTTTTGTCCATTCTGGAGATTTGAAGGCAGAAGTGCAGAGACTAGCCATCATCATGAGTTAGGGATTGCCAGTCATATAATCAAATAAACCTTTACAAAGTAATCAGCTGCACACTAAACTATTTCCTTAATCATGAGTTTCCTGCATGATAATAAGGTACATCTGGCAAACAGTTTTTACAAATGATTGTGACTGGTAATGCTTTTACTTGATCAAACCACATTTCAGTGTTTTTCTCCCTTGTGTTGTCTTTTTGGTTGCTTTCTATTCTCTGTAACCAGTAATTGTGTCCAAGGGCAGCAGTGTTTAATTTCACATGCTATCATTTAGATGTTCTGGGCTCAGCCTGTGCAGAGTCAAGGTGAGGCCTGGGAAAAATCACACAGAGTTTGTTCTTTGAAATACTTTGGAGAGAGGCCCAAGGGTAGCCCCTGTGGTGAAAAACCATCCAACATTTTGATGGATTTATGGACATTCAAAGGAGAGGAGTTAACTAGCTTAGTCTTGGTGTTGGTGTGTGTGTGTGTGTGTGTGTGTGTGTGGTGTGTGTTTTCTGGGGCAATGTTTCTCATCTTTAACATGCATGTGCATCACTGGGATCTTCCTAAAATGCAGATGCTCATCCAGAGACTCTGAGGTTGGCCACAGGTTCTGCAGTTCCAAAAAGCTCCCAGGTAATGATAGCGCTGACCCTCCACAGGCCACACTTTGACTAGCAGTATTACAGGACCATCGCATGCCAAGGTCCCAGGGCTTCTTTTGTTACCAATTGACCAAGCCCTCCCCCTCCTCCATCCCCCCACTGAGCAACAATTTCAAATCACTGATCTGTTATGTCAC